AAAGGGATAAAGGAGACAGTAATTTTAGAAAACAGAATCATAATTTTTTTTTTCCTGAGGAAAGTGCCTTTGAAAATAGTAAAATGAATTAGACAAACAGACTGGACGTATTGTCGAAGGCTTTCACAGCCAGCATACGATGGCTGGTGTGGGTCTTCCGGGCTGTGTGGCCGTGTTCTTGAAAGAAGAAGAAGAAGAGAGAGGAAGAAAGAAGAAGAAGAAGAAAAGAAGAAAGAAGAACATGGCCACACAGCCCGGAAGACCCACACCAGCCAAACAGACTGGACCTTCATGGAAATGCTGTTTATTTTTAAGGAAAGCAGATAATTGGTGGATTTTACAAAATAAGACGATAAGAGTTAATATGAGTCAGACTGTGTGACTATGATTATGGAGTGGCAGTTGGGACTAAAGTGTTAAAGACAGAGAAAACCAAAACAGAAAAAAAAAAGGAGAACTTTACTTTCACTCTAGTAACTGACATACTTTCATTTTATCATAATGGCAACCATAACAAAAGCTGTCAAAATAGAATAAGGAAGGAAAGGTTCATTAGAACAACTTACAGATAAGGGAAATGGCATCAGATTTATTGCAGAAAATGTTGGAGGGATTTGGAAAGAAGATGACTGCAATGGTTGCCAATAGTTTGGATGCTTTTAAAAAGGAAATGGAAGAAGGATTTGCAGGGATAAAAAGGAATATGAAAGAAGAAGTTAAGAAGATTGAAGAATCTGTAGGACAATTGGCTGGAGATGTAAAACAAATTAATGACAAAATGGAAGTTTTGGAAAGTAAGACAGAAGTTATAAATAGAGAGATGGAGAAAGATTTGGACAAGGCATTACTGGAACTGAAAGAAAGAGAATTTTGTTTAAGATTTAGAGCAATTCCAGAAGACCATGGGGAAGTTATCAGACAAAAGACTGTTAAGTCTCTAACTTCTTGGACTGGGATGAAGGTGACGCTGAGACAGAGACTGATAAGGTTTATAGGATCAGTACACGATTTGCAAAATTAAGAAATATTTCAAGGGATGTCCTTGGGCACTTGGTCAGGAAGAAGACTAGAGACCAAGTCTTACAAGAGTATTTTAATACTAGACTGAGGATTGATAATACAGATATCATTGTACTTAAGGAAATCCCAATTAGAATTCTATGCAAGAGAAAACAGTTGTTTTTGTTTTGACAGACAAACCTAAACAGAAGAAGATTCCATTTAGATGGGATAAGTTGGAAGGAGTGATTTTTACTTTCAAGCAGCAGAGATTTAGACTGAACTCTGTGCAGAAAGCAAGCGACTTTTTGGGATGTCCATGGTTTTCCCATTTACAGTTATCAGAAAGATTTAAAATGGATAAAAGGCTTATGGTATGGAGCAAAGTAAGACAGAATACAAAGTACAATTATGTACCGATGAACCTGTAATTACTAAAATGTATAAACTTTTGTTGAAATTTGAAACAGAGGAAGAACAGATTAAAGTGGGCTAAGAATTTTGGTTATAACATACAGATGGATCAATGGGAAAATATGTAATTAAAAGGGTAGAGATTTACATTATGTGGCGACCTTAAAGAGGATTTTTATAAAATGATATATTGCTACATGATACCAGAGAAATTATCTAGAATGTATATAGGCATTTCAAATGTATGTTGGAAATGTGAACAACAGGAAGGGACATTTTATCATGCTTGGTGGACATGTAAAAAAGCTAAAAAAAAATTGGATTCAA